GGGGAAGGAGAAGAAGGAAGGAGGAGGAAGAGGAGGGGAAGGAGAAGGAGGAAGGAGGAGGAAGAGGAGGAGGAAGAGGAAGAAGAGAAGGAAGAAGGAGGAGGAAGAGGAAGGAGGAGGAGGAAGAAGAGGAGGAGAAGAAGGAAGGAGGAGGAAGAGGAAGAAGAGGAGGAGAAGGAGAAGGAAGAAGGGGGAGGAAGAGGAAGGAGGAGGAGGAAGAAGAGGAGGAGAAGAAGAAGGAGGAAGAGGAGGAGGAGAAGCAAGAAGGAGAAGGAGAAGGAAGAGGAGAAGGAGGAGGAGGAGGAGAAGCAAGAAGTAGGAGGAGAAGAAGGAAGAAAGAGAAGGAGGAGGAGGAGAAGGAGGAGGAGAAGAAGCAAGGAGGAGAAGGAGGAGGAGAAGGAGGAGAAGGGGGAAAAGGAAGAGGAGAAGGAGGAGGAGAAGGAAGGAGGAGGAGAAGGGAAAGGAGAAGGAGGATGAAGGAGGAGGAGGGGGAAGGAGGAGGAGGAAGAGGAGGAGGAGGAGGAGGAGGAGAAGGGAGGAGGAGGAGAAGGAGGAAGGAGGAGGACAAGGAGGAAGAGGAGGAGGAGGAAGAAGAGGAGGTGAAGGAGGAGGTGGAGGAAGAGGAGAAGGAACAGGAAGAAGAAGAGGAGGAGGAGGAGGAGGAGGAAGACGACGACTGTGGGGTCTTTGGGGATTGTTGAGGTAATTCCCCATTGGGGGAATGAGCACATACAGGGAGACATAGTGAGAGTGGTGAAGAAGAACACACAACTAGCACACAGATTCACTGTATAGTAAAATATAGGTTTTTACTTCCAGTAAAAACGTTAAGCAAAGTTCAACAAACAGTCCAAGTCATTCACAGTTAAAGCAGTCAGTTTTCAGTCCAGGGATAATCCAATAACAAAGTCCAGTATCAAAAACAGTTCAGTAACAGACTTACATCAAATCCAAGAATAACTATGATCACAGTCAATAAGGAAATGCAACACTGTCCAGAACAACAGAACAGGAACAGGACAAGCCAGGTTTCTGGCTCCATCTTATGGCCATTGGAGGAACCACACCCAATTACAGTTTTAGCATTCCCTTAAAGAGACAGTATTAAAATGTCTATCCTGGTTTATATATTTTCCAACCCAACTGTTAGGTGACTTACATTCCTAACATTCTCCCCTTTGGGTAGGACAATATATACAACCTTACATTCTAAGTCCATAATCCTCACAGCAAGCCTTATGCTTTACAGAGCCTTGGGCCTTTGTAAAATGATCTGCGATGTTATTTTCTGACATACAGTATTCCAGCTTAATCATCTTACTTTGCACACATTGTCTCACATTTAAATATCTTAAATCTGTGTGTTTTGATCTTGTCTTTACAGCAAGATTTGAAGCCATCTGTATCGCTGATTGGTTGTCTTGGTAAATAACAACAGAATCTGTTACATCAATTCCCATATCAATTAATAGTTGCTTATAAAAAACTAAATCTGTACATAATAAAGGCAAACATGAGAATTCAGCCTCCATTGTTGACAAACTTAAATGTTTCGGTCGAATAGACCTCAATCCAATCAACACCTTTCTGAATATTACTACAGTACCCGATGTAGATTTACGTGTATTTATGTCCGTAGCAAAACTTGCATCAGCATACGCAGTTAAACTCAGTTCAACTTTAGGCTCCAAATACAATGCATAGTGCCTTGTTTGTTTTAGATATCTTAACACAGTGGTCCCCAACCACCAGGCCCCAGACTGGTACCGGTCCATGGATCATTTTGTACCGGGCCACCTATTTTGCTTGGGCACCGCCATCTTGTTTCAACAGCGCTTGAGAAAGTGCTTCCGGGTGAGCTTGTCAGTTGGAAAGTAGCGTTTGGGTGCTGAAGGAATCCTCGCGCCTTAGTTTCATCAAAGGGAGGGGGCGCAGCTTCGAACAAAGAGCCGTCCCGATGGCAGTGGAGTCTCACGTTACTCAGGAGGAGATTAAGAAAGAGCCCAAAAAGCCCATCGACTGCGAGAAAGTACAAAGGAGGAGTTGAACGTGGCAGGGAGAAGCGGGGGACGACTGGCTAGCCGGTCGCTCAGCTTGCCTTGCCTTGGTCATGCGTGCTGATGCTGGTACCGGTCCGTGGATCATTTGTACCGATCCGTGGTACAAAAAAGGTTGGGGACCATTGTCTTAACACATGCTTAGCAGCTTGCCAGTGCCTTTCAGTTGGCTCAGCATTAAATCTGGCTAATTGGTTAACACTGTATGTGATATCTGGCCTTGACCAAATACTGAGATAAGATAAACTACCATTGAAGGACTGATAAATGTTCTTATCAAGAATAGGACTTTGAACATCACTATTGCTAAACTCCTGGCTCATTGGTGTTTTAGCGGGTTTACAAAATGTCCATTTTAAAACTTTTTAGTAATTGGTTAATTTTATTTGCCTGTGAGATTTTGTATCCTCCCCTAGTTCTGTCTATCTTTAAACCAATATATTGATTTTTCCTGTTTTATTTTAAATTTCTTCTCTAACAGTGAAATTAATTTAGTAGCTTCTTGTTCAGTCTTGGTAATTAATGCTATGTCATCAGTGAATAATAGCAAGAAAGAAATTACACCATTAGTTTCTCTTTTGAACAAACATGGATCAGCCATGCCAGCTACAAAACCTATCTTAGTTAATTCCTTAACTATACACTGGTTCCACTCATATCCTGATTGCTTCAAGCCATAAAGGCTCTTTTTCAATCTCCAGCAATCAGTTGTATTGTTTTGATACCTAAAGGTTTCTTCAAATATATAGTGTGTTGCAACGGTGCATGCAGACATGCTGTCTCTGCGTCTAAATGATTTACAAGGTATTCCTCCTTAGCTGCCCACACTAATGCTGCTCTTAATGTAGGAGCCTTCAGACTAGGTGCAAACACCTCACCGTAGTCATTTGCTGTCTGATTTAACCCTTGTGCTACTAACCTGGCTTTATGGGTAACAGTCCCATCTACACTAGTCTTAAGTTTATAAACCCATTTACATCCTATGGCCTGTTCACCTGGTGGTAACCTGACATTTTCATATACCTCCAACTTTTTTAATGATTCCCGGTCCTTATCCGTTGCTTCTCCCAGCACTGATGAGGTTCCCTAGTTGGGTCATGAAACGCCTGCAAGGTCGCAGCCAGGCTCAGAGACCCCCCAGGAGGAAACACCTCCCCCCCATTTCAACTCTGAGCTACAAAGATTATCTTGGTTTGGACTTCTGGGTGCTGGGTCCATAATATCCGTAGCTCAGGGTGGAACTGGGGGTCCTCCTGGGGGGGGGTCTCTGAGGTACAGGCAGTCCTCGACTTACAACTGTTTGTTTAGTGACTGGAGCTGCATCACTGAAAAAAGTAACTTCTAACTGCCCCCCCCCCACTGTTGCAGACCCCCCCCAGGTCACATGATCCAATA